AAAATAAAATTTGTTTTAAAATTGTAATAAATAAAGATAAATTTCAAAAGAAAAAATATTAAATCCAATAAAAAAAGTTCAATAATTTTTTTATACAAAAATAAAATTCACAATAATTAATAAAAAATAAAACGCTTACAAAGTTGACAAACTCGTGAGCCAAGTGGATATAGATTGGGTTTTTGTCAAAATATTAGTTATCATATACGACCTATTTAACTTTTTATTGTTAAACTCGTAAAGGTAAAGATTTAAAAAAGAATGCATTGAAAGGTATGATAGCAGTTTAGAGGTTTCTACAATTAATTTATTGAATAAAATAATTCGGACAAATTTAGAATTTTACCTAAGCGTATATTGTCTAAATGTTGTATTACATAAAATTCTGATAACATAAAATGTATAATGTAAATCTATCGCACGACAACGCCACCGTCAATTATATACGAATCGTCAATTGTACATTCTTAACAATATAATTTAATATTAGCGCACCACAATTTTTATATACCGCAACGGCAATACAGAAATTTCGATAATCGTATGCCGCATTCTAAAATACAGCTATTTGTTAATAGATTTTACAGAGCTATGTTTTTCTCAGTAATGTTTTTAGAAAACTTAAAAATAATTGTAGCAAGCAAATTCGACGTTAGATCTATATGTATTTTGCATAATCAAATTTGTATTATACGCCGGCATACGGCACGGTATTACTTGATTTTTTCTAAATTATAATGCATGTACATATACAAATATCCCTACACTAACAACCTCAACTATAACGATACCTCATTTCAATTTCTTTATAAATTGTCTAAAAAATATACATATTATAAAAGTAATCAGAAATTTAATAACTCCTTTTCAAATCTAATACAAAAATATTTTTGTGAACAAAATTTTACTTTCTCAATTAATGTACAATAATATTATCTTTATCTCTATAGGATATTATCTATATTTATTTTATTAAATTTTAAGCCATATAATTTATATACATACATACGAAATATACACACATACCATACTTATATATTTAGCAGCTATATAGCAATGAATACTGCTGAAAATCAGTCTTGTGACTGATAAGCTGATAAATATCATAAGTGAAATTAAATAAAAAACAAAACCAAGAAAATACAGCGAATTTTTTTCTTTTTTATCAATGAAAAGTTTTCGAACAAAAATCATTTCTAAAAAATTTCGATGGCGACAGTTGATTTTTTGCAATTATAAAGAGTAAAACACCTTAAATTTGTTACTTTTGTTTTGTTAGAATCGGTTTTTTTTTTTGTAATTTAAAAGAAGACAAAAAAAAAAACAAAAGAAATAAATGTAATTAAAATTTTATTTAATTAATTTTGTTAGTTTTAAATTTGATTCATTAAGATTATAGTTTTTATATACAATTAAGATGAAAGTATATAATTAATATTAATTGTTCTGAATATTAATTATAATTATTTCATAAATTTTATTTTTAATTAGACCTACAATAAAGTGACGTACATATGTGGAATTGAAATCGGCATAATAAATTAAAATTAATAAATTTTTTTATTGGAATTTTAAAATAAATAAATTACATAATTATAGCAAATAAATTAAAATAAATAATAAATTATAAATTTAAAAATGTTATTATAAATATGAATGGGATTAAGCAAACAATTTGGTTGGAAATTAGACACTATACAACTTTTTATAAAAATTTGTAACATTCCCAAATGTTACAAATGTTAAACTACACTTGTATTATCATAACGAAAATTCCTGTTCTTATAAGTGAAATTATAAGCTATTTCCTATTCTATTAGTGAAACCATTCTTACGTGCTATTCTTCATTTATATAAGTGCTGTATTACAATATTAATAAAGAGTGACAGGAATATGAATTCTAAGCTATCAGCACTGTTAAAAAATTTTATTATGTTCAAATTTTAAATGACAAATTTCAATTTTGGCAAACATATTTGCCATCAATTCTAATTTCACTAATTTTTGGAATTCTTTAAATTCAATTCTATTTTCACTCATGAATTCAGTGAATTAAGTACAATATTGTTTGGGTGTTCATTTATATGTACACAATGATTTTATTATTAGATAAATACCAAAAATGACACTTAAAACATTTTTCTGATATCAATTTTTGGTTTTTTTTTTGTTTTTTCGCATTATAATATTCCAATATTTAGATAATAATAATTGCATAATATTTTTATTATTATTGATAATTTTTGATGAAAAAATTTTATTATTGAATCGACATTAAATAATATTTTATAACATAATATACGCACATATGTATGTATATAGGAAAAATTATGATTATTTAAAGTATAGGAATTAAATATATATTCACTTATATGTATATATATATAATATAATTACAATAAGTATGAAATTATTTCAATAGTATTTGAATAAACAGGTAACAAATTACAGTCTTAAAATTATCTACATATAATTTGGAAAGTATTAGTCATAATAAAGAATGACAAATTTTATTTTAAATCATTTACTTAAATAATTTATAACCATATTTTGTAAAGAGATTTATTATAGAATTAATTTTATATAGTAACCAGATCAGTGACCACAATATTTTTACTTTATTTTTAAGCATTATTTTAATGTTATTAATTTTATTTTACATTAAAATATCAAAAACGCTTTGCAATTCTTGCTATTGCAATTATAGTTCTCGCAATAAAGAACATAATTTCAATTAATTTATTGCATACGTTTAGGAGAGCATGTAAAGAAATTAACAAAAATAAAAATGAACCAAATCTAGTATATTACGAGTATAATCTGACACGATATTATGTAGTATAAAGCAAAACTTTAAATAGATATTTGTGTGAGTGCAAGCTTGACTTCAAAACTACAGTAATTTGGTTCAGTTCATAATACTGCTATTAAGCTTTCAAGTCAGTGTTAGAAAAAATTTAAACCAAATAGCTACTCTACAAAAATGATTGAGCCATAAATGATTGACCCATAATTGAAAGTACAAATCAGCACATGATTTTACTAAGTTCCTATTAAATTTTATCTTTAAATCGTAATTTCAATTTTTAATCTTAACAATAATATTTTAGATTAAAGGTTACTAATTGTTGTTTCTATATTATATTTTAATGGGCTTATAATTGAATAATCGCTATATTTTTATGCATATGCAAAATTTTAATTAAAACTATAAAATTTCGAAAATTTTAATAATCGAAATTTTATATTTCGAAAAAAAAATTTTCTTTTATTCGAACATTAATATTATCGTAATTTAATTTTTTATAATATGTAGTTACCGTATCAAATTGAAATTCAATTAAGTAATTATGACTTTTACTTATAATGTCATTTATATTATGCTGTTAAGTTTATTAAAGATTAATTTATTACGATAATGTTAACAAGAATTATTTAATGTTATTTCTTTCACATAATAATCATTTTGAAAATTATATAGAGAATCTAGAGTGTTTTAATTAATTTCAAGTGAGTTGTTGAAAATTTCCAAATAAATAGTATTATTGAAAATAATTCTAATATATAGAATTATATAGAAATTTTTCCGGAAGACGATAAAAAAATTTTTTTTCTAATTTTTATATAATTTAAAAAATGTTACATGAGAATTTTGTGTTAAAAATTAAAAATTATATTTAAAATTAATGAATTTTTTAAAATTTCAATTAATAATATTTAATTTATATAATAAAACATTTTAATTGATTAAAAAATATGGAAAATTGTTTTAAAATGGCAATCAGCGTAATTTGAAATAATTACACATAGTAGGCATAAATCTAGTGTTATATATGAATATTTACTAATTCCAAGTATGTCGGCCATTATTAAAAATTATAAAATTTAATGGAAAAAATTACAAAAAAAAAAATATATTGGAAATTTTAAAATGTTTAGTAAATTTTATGGAAAAAAAAATTTAATTGATATATTATTGGCGCTGGAGACAGAGGATATAAATTTAATAAATGTGATTAAATTAATGATAACTACAATAAAATATTGTTAAATTTTCATATATGATAAAAAATTATCTACATAACTATTATCTACATATATTTTTTTTTTGCTAAAAATCATATCAGGTCAAATAATAAAATTGCTATATTAGAAATAAATTTTTTTAGAGACAGTTAAATAAATAAAGGTGTGTTGGTTTTCTTGTTTTTATAATATCGATTAATTTACTCAATTATGTACATCCTTACATAATATGATAATGCCGATTATCCAATATGTACATAGGTACATATAATATGTGCGTACACCATAACATTATGCTCACAATTATAACTTTGTTTATTCACATATTATATGAAATCGATAATTAACGTGTACAAATGTGTGTATTATAAATTTTATTATTACAATTTAAATTTTAATTATTGATTTTCATATGATCAATAATTCGTTCCAAAGATAAAAAAATTTTAATATATAAATTTTAAAATAACTTAATTTGACAATATCATACATAGTACGTAATATTTACAATATTAATTATAACTTGACAAAAACAATATAACACGCAGGTTAAAATAGAAATTTTTAAAAATTTATAATTAATTACAACTTTAATTAGTTAAATGATTATATTTTAGTCTTGATATTCATATTCTAGGCTGTTATAATAATGGAATATATTATAATATAAATTAGAATAAAATTATAGCTTCTTCGTATTTTATATGCACATACTTCAAATCCGAACAATAATCTTAAGAGCACATCCAAAAAATATTACTCATCATGTTAATCTAAGAGTACAAAGCTAAAATATATTATTTTTCATAGCATACATAATTTCTATTATATTTCAATAATTATATTAAATTAAAAATTTATATGTATGTATATTTTATTAATATAAACTTTAAAACACATTAAAAACAATATTACAATGAATTTGATTAAGTACTTATGTATGTAATTATTCGACTTTCATTTTCTTTTGCAGTTACCAATGGCGACATCTTTAGATAAAGAATCAATCAGAGAAGCGTACGAAGACGTTCGATCCGATTTGACAGAAACAGAATGGTAATTAATAGAAATTTTAATAATTTTAGGTATTTTGTACTCGAAAATGAAGAAACTAGTGAAATTATAAGGAGTTATTAATTCCAAAAAATATTCGAAAATGCATTTAATTTCCAAAAAAATTTTCGTGAATTTTTTAAAATGTAACTATTTTAATTATATTAATACATACATACATACATACATACACATGTTATATGTATATAATAATATTAATTTTCTATAAAACTTTGCGGAAGGTACATTATAATTTTTACATTATAAATTATAATAGCGCATATGCCAAAATGTAAATCTAAAGATAATTTAATTTATTCAGAAATTTAAATTGAATTGTTGGATATAGTTAAGTTGCAATTAAATCTGTATTTTTGAAGATGCTCATATGCGCATTATCATTTTTCATTTTAAAATATTTACACCAAAATATTAATATGTTTTTCTTTTCAAAAAATAGGTCAGTTTTCAAATTTGATGGTCCACAAATAATTGTAGCAGCTAGAGGAGTCGATTTTGAGCAATTTAAAAATCAATTTAAGGATAATGAGCGTGCCTTTGGTTATATTAGAATACAAATGGGTGATGAAATGTCTAAGAGGAAAAAATTCTTATTCTTAACATGGATTGGTCCAGAAGTTGGTGTTTTACAAAGAGCAAAAATGTCAACCGATAAAGCAATTATCAAGGATGTTTTGAATGTAAATGAAATATTTGTCACATATAATTTTAATATTTTGCTAATTCTTCTTTTTATTTTAAAGTTGTAATGAAAATGTTTTAGAAAACTTTCAAAAAAATTTTTATTTAATATTTTTTTTTTTTTATTGTATAAATTTTAGAATTTTGCTGTAGAATTACAGGCTGGCCAAGATACTGATTTGGATATTGATATATTCCGTGATGCCTTGAATCGTGCTGGCGGAGCTAATTATGGTACAGGTGTCCGTGATTTGTAAATTGCATTTCTCTTTGTTTTATTTTATATATATATAATTTTTTTTTTTTAATAAACACTCCCTGACTTTTTCTAATAATAATATACTTACTTAAAGTAAAGAAAATAAAAAATTAAATAAATGAATAAAAAATTAATTTAAAATTTAATCTTGGAAATCGTATAAAATTGTATTAAATTATGTAAGCAAAAATGCAACAAATTAAAGTAAAAAGAAAAGTAAAATGCCAACACCTTTAGAAATATTAGTATTTAGTACTTATTAAGCCATTTTTAATTATTTTGTCAAAATTTTTTGATGGAAGCCTAGTGGAAGATGATATAAATGAAGAATAAAATGAGAAAAGAAAATAAATTGTTATATTTTTAAGATACAAGGTAAAAATAAAAAATTTTTATTTGCGAAAATTAAATTGTATTTTATTTAAATAAAGAAAAATATATTTTTTTTATTATATTTATACATGTATGTAATAGGTACTTATACGAATTTATAAGAATGCATATTAAGTTGTCAGCGGTAATCGCTTCGATAATTTTAAGAATAATTTATATTACGCAATATAACACCACTGCAATAATATTTAGCTTAATAAATTTTACCTTGTTAATTATATAATAAATATAAAGCTAGATAAACAGTAACAAACCACAACTATAAACATAACATGCGCATGAGATACACATGAGATCCATATATGAGATAAGGTTCTTCTGAAAACGCAGTATGTGTAAGCATTTCTAACTTAAAACTGAAAACGCAATTCTAACTTAGTACTTACATATTAGATTGCAGTGTAAGGATTACTTCACAGTTCAAGCACACGAGATACATAAGCAGTATGAACATAGGTTCATGGGATATATATGCAGTATGCACATGAGTTCTCTATAGGTTCCAGCATGTGTTCGGACGAATCTCTTTTCTAATACAGATAATTTCAACGATTTCATTAGCTAATTTATAATAATTGATACGATAAAAGGTTTGGTATGTTCATTTCATTTAATGAGTTATAAATAATTATATATTATAAAAAAAAATGCAATTTTCATCGAATAGTCAGTTTAGAACAAAAAGAAACCTCAAAATAAGTTTAATAAAAAACAAATTTTTTTACCAAATAGAACATGAAAATTTTTACTCATCTTTTTACGATTTTATTTTATCTTAACATTTTTGCACTCCAATAAAATTCAAAGTTAGTTTTTAAAAGTTTATTTAACTAATTATTTAAAAAATAAAACAATACAATACTTATTATTTTTGTTATGTTGCAACTAAAGTGGAGCACATAAATTCATTAATTTATAAGGATTTTGGCCACTTAAAAATTTGAGCTCCGCATCAAATCCTTTTTCAACATTTTGAATCCATTTTCTATTCAGATAATAATTAATACAATTTTCAAATTCTTTATCGTCATATTTTGCAACTTTGATTGGAATAAAAGGGTCAAGGTGTTCAAATCCATTCATTCCTAACAAATATTTTGGTAAATGACTTTCCATTCTATCTTCCGTTAGAGCAATTTTATCCACAACAAGGACACAAACGCCATTTTTCCAATCGAAGTTGGTTATATTCAAAAAAGGTTGAGTAATAGTTATTTTATTTGGTGTCATTTTTGCTTTTGTATCTGATACAACTCTGGTTTTTGAATGAAAAAATGCATTATAGCCATCAATACACACCATTACTTTACATTTATTATCGGTAGCTTGTTGCTTTAGCTCAGAAATTAACGCCTCAATTGTACCCGTTGAGAACTTTATACGATTTATTCCATGTTCAACCAATTGTAAAAGTGTTGAACCAGCAGGTGTTGTCTCTCGTTTACTCCAAACATAATCCTTAGAAGTTTTTAAATTCAATTTATTTAACAAATCCGTATTTTGTAATTTAAAATGTACAAGCCAAGCCGCTGCGTCAAATGGTAAATCAACAAAACCCTCTTTATCAGAATTTGCTATTTCCTTTGGTCTTTTGAACCAATTTGGAACCCATGGTATGTGTATTAAAACAAAATCATTTTGATAACCATAGTGTATCATATGAGCTAAGGTAATCGATTTTCCAACACCGTTTTCGCCATATAGAACATAACGAATAACAGGATTATTAAAGTTTGTCCTTTTGATATATTCAATAATTTCAAGAGCTGGTTGTCGAATCATAAATGTGGTTTCCGCAAAAGTCTTTGTTTGTTTTTCAAATGACTTTGGAAATCCTCCATTTCCAAAGAGCTTTTTCTTTTCTTCAGCAGAAATAGTATAAAAACGACCTAAATGTTGTTCGGTATGATTTGAAGTATGTGATTCGTTTGTTCGAAAGTCATCTAATGTTGCTATTGATTCTACAGCTAATGTACTAAAGCGTGAAAAATATATTTTATTGGCCAATGATTTTAAACTGGAAGTTAGCATCTAAGATTGTGTAGATAAAATGATTTAGTAAAAGTTTTTAATTTATTAATTACTATTTTTTTACCTTTTTATTTATGAATTGATGATAAATTATTAAATTATTTTATTATTATGTCAATTCCGTATTTTCCTTGCAGTTTGAGTATTTCACACACACCACTCTTCTGCGGCAAAGCAAACTAGCCCGTTGATACTTGACAGATTTGCAATTATTTATTTTTTTTAGAACATGTGGATGTGACGTTTAAATTATAAACAAATCAAACTTTCGATTAATTAGAGTACTGCCAACTATAGATAAATTCTAAATGACAACACTTTACTACATATAAAGTAAGTGTTAACAAGTTTCTTTTCTTAAAGGCTGTTTATTTCCTTCAAACTTCTGGTTTAAAATTTTATTCATTTTACACTTCACAAACAAGAAAGGTTTAATACATTCTGAACATTGTTTTCATCCACTTTTTTGACAAATTAAAAATCTTTTGCATTAATTAAGGCAATAACAGTGTCGAAGGCAACACTTGCGAAAATAACAGTTTGGGAATATATATAATTACTGTCAAATATTATGAGCGTAATTAAATTTAATGACTTTTATTCGCCATTACGAGCATAAAATACCATTGTTTGGTAAAGGGAAAATAAAATTATTGAATAGCAATATCCCATATTGTAAAAAATTTTAAATAGAAGCTTTATCAATTTTGGACACATTTCAAAATGAACGCGCAGGAAAACTACTACGAACCTTCAAAACAACCGTTAAATATATTCACTGAATATGAAACAATGGAACTTCTAAAATTAATTGAAGATGTAGAAATTCAAAAACTATTTGCAACATACAGAAAAAAACACAAATATGTATGGCAATTAATATCTAATATTCTTGCCGAAAAAGGGATCAATAAATCAGAAGATAAATGTGCTAATCGTTTTGAAAACATGAAAGCGAAATTCTTCAAGATAGAAAAACGTAGAATGCAAGGTTACAATGAAGACACAGATTGGCCATATTATGATTTCTTTGCTCGTTTTATGAACAGTAATTACATGGTAAATGATATGCAACAACAAAGTCTACCTCAAATAGTGCTTCCTCAATTACCACCCCATCAATCTTACGACATGCCAAAAGTTAAACTGGAACCAAGTGCAATTTCTATGATGCAAACGGATTACCATCAAAATGGTGAATTAACCAGAACGGTTAATCCAATGCATCACTCATATGGTTTCAATGCAAATGGATTACCAGAAATCATTCAACCCAGCAATGATGAAATAAAATCAGAATTACAAATTCACGACCAAGGAGAACCACAAGAGAGGCATGTACATCATGAGGCAACGCGGGAAAGTGCGGAAAATGTAAGTGAAGAGAAGCAACATATTTTAATAAGTCCACAATATGTTCAGCATGTTGAAAGAACTGATTCAGAAAATCAAATTGATAATTCAAACGAATCAACTAGTAACCCACCAGTGCTAAACTCCAATATAAGTAATGTGAATAGCAACAATAATGTTAACAAAAACCTTAATGAATCGTATCACAATATTCCTGCATCAACAATAACTCCACAATTTCGAAGGACACCAGGTCGTCTTGCTTCAAGTTACAGTCCAAACCCTCCAAGTTCGGCAGGAACGAATTTAAACACAAGATTTGCAAGAAAATTCAAAAAAATTAAAATTGATGAAGAGTTAATGGCCGTTCGAAAGGAAAAATATGCTCTGGAATTAGAAATTTTACGATTTCAACTCGAAAATGAGAAAAAGTTAAATGAAAAACACTCTTTAGATGTGAAAATTTTAGAAGAAAAATTAAAGAACGAAAAATTTCAAAATCAACTTTTGGAGAGAAAACTTCAATTAAATGGTAATCTGATTGGAAAAGAGATTGCAGAAAATTGATAAGAACCTATTATAATATAGTTAATTAACAAATAATATTATATAATTGGTATGGCGATGTAAATTCAGAATTATTCCTATTTATGATTAGTACTTACGTAGATACTTAAATTTTCAGACTTGTAATATGATGTTTAATGTTTGATTGTAAGCGATAATTTATTAAAGGCTTTTTAAAGAATTTAATTTGTCAAAAATCATTTAGTAAATTAGATTATAATCATTTATAAATAAATTACATTATAATCATTTAGATTACAATAGTTAGTTAATCTTAACATCAAAGGAAGGAAATGCAGAAACTTGAACTTTTAATTTTCGAAAATTTTAAATTAAAAAGTACAAATGTATTATACAAATATTCTGTATTGTAAGAAACGAATTATTCTGTATTCTATATTATAAGAACCGAAGACACAGGAGAAGCTTGCAAATTTAATAAGTTTTTTTATGAGTTGAAACATGTTTTCAACTTTTTGTGGCGGCCTAGCAAGTAGAAATCTACCTTAGATCATTTAAAAATTTTTCGAAAGTATGTATAGATAGTTAAATAAATCCACTAGGTATTTCTAGGTAAAGTAGTAGGGGCATACCTCCAAAGACTAAAAACATTATATGTAACTCCAAAGAGTTAATTAATAAGATTAAGTTTTTTTAAAATATATTAGTATTTTCATTTTATTAGTTACATAATACCAGTTTGTGTGTATGATGCATATAAAAAATTTTGTACATTAATTAATTGGAAGAAACTTGTTTTACTTTAATCATTGTACTTGATTAAGGAATGAAAATCACAACCTTGTAATTTTTCACGACCATTCAATGAAGTTAGTTCTAGTATGACGAAAATGCTTTTAACTGTACCTCCACATTTTTTCACTAATTCTATAGCAGCATTGATGGAACCCCCTGTGGCCAATAAATCATCAATTATTAAGACTTTCTGACCCGGTTTTATAGCCGTTTTTTGTATTTCAAATACATCTGAACCATATTCCAAAATATATTCAAATCTTTCACATTCACCCGGTAATTTTCCTTTTTTACGCACTGGTACACAAGAAATTTTCAATTCAGCAGCAATCATGAAACTGAACAAAAAACCTCTAGCGTCCAATCCAACAACAACATCAATATCAGGGCACACATTCTTTATATGATCTAAAATTAAATCTTTAAGGTAACTACAAACTTCACCATTTGTAATTGCAGTAAAAATATCTCTGAAAATTATTCCCTTTTTGGGAAAGTCAGGGTAAATTCCAATATGCTTTTTTATAATTTCCAATTTTTGGTTATTATCCATGTTTTTATAATTTTAAATTAATTATTTGCATAAAAATATAATTGTTATCACTTCGTAATCACGGCAGTTTAATTTCAGTTTTTCATGGGTTACAGATGAATTTTCAATCTTCCTTTTTAACAAGAAGTTTTTGTAAATATAATTAGACATTAGTGATAAGGAGAACGAATTTGACAGTTATGATAATAATTTGTTGACAGTTTTTTCTATAATGACACTTAATTGCACTGAACAATTAGACCTACCAGAGCTATTTTCACATTTATCAAAATTTATCCCATCTGTGTCATTTACGTTATGCTTACGATATAAATACGCTATACGCCATATTTATACATATACGATATTTTTTCCAATAGAGAAATTTGAACAAAACAAACTCTTTCTATTTTAATTAATTTTAAGGTTTCAAATGAAACAAATTATTCATTTTAACGTAACTTTTTATTAAAAAATGTTTTGCATTTTTATATATTTTTTGCGTGTAAAAACACAACTTAACTTTTCTTTATTTAAAAAACAAAAATGAATTTTTTTAAAATTTATTAACATTTTTTTATGATTTAATATTATGTATTTGTAATTTATTAAATATTTTACGATAATTTTTTTATTTTTAATTGGAACATTGTTTTACTATTGTGGCTAAGCTGAGTACTGCAAGAAGGAATTTGTAATAAGTTCAGTATGTTAAAATTTTTATAAAGATGTCTACTGATTAATAAACGTAAGGCATAATATTTTAATAGTTAAGTTATTTTATACTACATATTATATTATAATTTATTATGTATTTAAATATTCCTATACCATCACTTAATTCAAATCATTAAAAAATTTTAATTTTAAATAAAATTTTTAAAGATTACAGTTTTTTTATCAAATATAATCTGATTCGACCAAGCAAAATTTAATTATTGTAAGAATCAAAAAGCGCTATTACATCAAAATAATAAATTGAATTTTAATTATACATTCTGTGTCAGGCATCCATTTTGGAAGATAAAGGTTGTAGTTTCGGCCAATTAACGAATTCTGTGCCATATTTCATAATTCCAGTTGTAGATACACCAATCATTGCACCCCAAAACATTAAGAATAATAAATTTTCTGTTTTATATTCTTTCGGGAATATTGCAGATGCAAAGAACATTGCTAAAGCAAACATAAGTACAGATGGGAACTAAAAAAAGAAGAAGTTATATATATCTGATTATAAGTCACGTGCAATATTACAGTTCCATAACGCCATCCTTTTGGAGCAATTAAAGGTGATGGAATAAGCGTTCCCTCATTATCTCTAATCATATAATTTCCTAAGAACAGATCCAAAGCATCCTAAAAAAGTTATAAATAAAGCTTATTAAATAGCATTTAAATAAATAAGTTTTATATAAGTATCAAATTATTTCTAACACTTACTTGTCTAAAGCCGTCATAAAAGTTATTTAAAACGTAACGCGTTAAAGAATTTGTTCCATCTTTAATAAGACCAGCTTTAGTTCTTTTTCCAGTTCTTGTAAAATCTGTTTTCAATGCACCTGTCCCAGAATATTGAACTGAAATCAAATCAGCATTATCAGCCCATACCTAAAATTTAAATTCTTTACTAGCAGATTCTATTATATTATTGGTCATTGTACAAATACACTAAGTTCTAAAAGTAATATACATACAAAACTAATAATAATATATAGAGTTTTATATTGAAAATTGTAAACGTACTGCTTTAAAAAGAACTTCAAATGCTGGTGACACATTTTCAAAATTCTGTTCGTATTGGAGGACCCCTAATTTCTTCAACACGATGTTTAACGACCGTCGAGCAAGCATACTTTGAACAACATTTGTTCTGTCCAAACAATCAATACAGTTAACTCGAAATACTCCATCTTGGGACGAATAAAGTTGACCATCTGAGCCTAAATGAAAGTAACCAAACTCGTTCTGTTCATGTGCCAGGCGATCAATCAGAATGTTAAGTCTATCCCATCTCATTTTTTTGCATTCTGCATGAAAATCAAACGCTTCATATCGAATCGAATCACTTCCCAGTAGTTCTACTAAATTTTTGTATGCTTTTTCAAGTGCGGCTTCACGGCCTTTCTGATCAATCTAGAATTAAATGAAAGCTTTTTGAATTATTGTTCTGTGAGAAAGTTGTTGCATCAACTTTTTCCTTACTAAGTTAACTAATACTTGTCTCCCGTAAAGCATTATTTGTGCATCGAAATGTTTGGTGAATGCGCTTAAATGATCTTTGCCAGCAATAATTTCTGGTGGTGGTTTTAATTTCAAATTGGGAGTTTGCCTCCAAAAGAGAGGTATACTACCTCTTGTTTGAACAAATGATATTTTCTGTCCAGCAAATTCAATTATTTGTTCAGTTTCAACATAATTTGCGCATTGTCCCTCATCGTTGCAACCACGGCAAAAAAGTCTAGTGCCTGCTCTTTCATTTGATCTCCGCGAAATTATAATCCATTGAAAAGGATATCCATTGACATTTGCTTGATTAATTGATATAACTATAATAATAATATAATAAAGTATAAATAATTACAACATCAAAAAAGAAATTACATCCTAACACTATTGGTAAGGCAAAAGCTTTCATTTCAGAACAATTGAAATTTCTCAAGAGATAGTTATTCCAAACAAACCTATGATCAGCCGAATCTAATAATCCACTCTGCAATGTATTTTTATATAAAAAAAATATGGAAGCCTTGTTTAAAAAAAATAATTTTACCATAAACAAATCAGGAGGAATAGAATGCAATCTCTGTAACGTATGCGTTAGATCATAGGAATAAGAAAAATACAGAAATGGAGTATCCAAAACTTTTTTCAACATTTCAAAGTATTTTTCGTTCTGTAATTTTTGTTGTTGCGTAAGATGCATAGTAGTGGGAATGTATGGGATAATGTCGTAACCGGCCAAACGCCATATTACTTGACCATTAATTAATCCAACAAATATTCTGTGGGTAGCCACAATCAAATAACGCCCGCTTATTAATTTTATAGTTCCTAAAACTCCACATACCCTTTTTGCAGCTAAAAGGGGCTTAAGATCACATTCTTCTAAAAAAAATAAAGTACAATTAAATTAAAAATGATGACGTCAATTATCCTGAAAATTGTTTTTCTTACTCTGAACTTTGACTTCAGGTGTTTGTCTGTCAATAACTAGAGCTTCAGACTTTCCATTTGGTTGAATATAAAATTTTTCATTTGTAATATATCTTAAAAGAGAAAAGAAAAAGTTACATGTACGTATATGCACTACACGTTCATTTATTATTTTTAATTATCTCTAATCAATGCAGTTGCACATTAATCGAAATTCTTCTGTAAAAACAGGTTTTCTCTAAATTACTTACAAATTCATATCATTATAAACATAATCCATAGTGGCGTTTTTATTTGCTTCTTATTAATCAATTCAAACAATACTCATTACTCTGTTATTAAATTTAAAATTATTTATTTACAATTTTTTACATAAAAGTATCCTAATTTTTACGAAACTTTGTCACCTCATTCGTAAAATTGCATTTGTGTCATATTATTTGACAAGTTATACAAACGTAAGAGATATTCTCAAACTGTAAAAGAGTAAAATGATTTTCCTTAATTTAATTCAATAGAACGGCACAATTTTTATTTTTTGTGTCTGAGAAAGTATCAGAAACTTTCGAGTTTTTGTATAATTTCTATGTAAGAGTAGACAAAACCTATAAATTCAAATAAATAGTAATAATTTTTCGTTTAAATGCCTTCCTTTACAGAAATTCCAATTTCACTACCAAAACATAATATTTGCATATGTACGTAGTTTAGTTGTTTAGTAAGGATAATTTTATACATTTAAGCCGAATTAACTGTTTCGAAAGATCTATATACACTTCTACAAATACTTCAACTATTTTTATAAAAGTAGTTACGTATTCAATCTGTTTGAAAATTGAACGACATAAACTGCATTCAAACATAAATCGAAGAAAGTTCAAAATAAAAATACGATATAACAAGAACGTTTGATGATAATCATAATTGTTTGATTATGACTTATTTAATACTAAATTCAATCAGTCAGAATTTAAAAATACATAAGCGAAGAAGAAAGCCTGTTTTTTTGTAATTTAGAAGTTTTGTCTAACTTAAATTCAATAATCTGGAATAACGAAAAATGAATAAAATTGCAGTGTTGTGACTATGCTGTTAAAAAAGGTTGAAACTAACTCACTATAAAATTTTAAGTTAACTCCTATAGAAATAATTATAAGCGCTTCATATTTTATATTAGGATTTAAAGTTCGTTTAATGTACAGGAACTTAAGCACCGTGTCAGAGGCATTTAAAACAAAACAAGAGATAGAACTTGTGGAAGGGGATGCTACAAAATTGGATAACGTTAAAAATTTGCTTAATGGTGTTGAATTAGTGCGTTATTTTAGGAACCCGAAATAATTTGGAGCCAACTACGGAAATGTCAACCGGAACTCAAATTGTTTTTGAATCAATGAAAACATTAAACCTAAAAAAAATTTCAGTAATAATGTCTTCGTTTCTTTTTTGGGAGTACAAAAGGAGTGCTTGAAATTACTAAAAACTCTGGTTTAGACTTTGTGGCCATATTACCTCCCCATATATCTCATGAATCCTATACAGAAGTTGAAATTACTGAAAACAAATCACCAAAGTATAGTTCCAAAGATCAATCTTGCTAAATTTATAGTGGAAAGTTTGGGGTATAGGCAAAACAGCATAATTTTTGTATTTGCTTAAAATATTAAAATAATCAGTTTTGAAAATAAAGTTTTTGATAAATTTTGTGGGTAATGTGTTTAATAGAACGACATTAATGGGTCGTTAATTAAAGCAATTTTTGGAATACATACATGTTTCTGTTATTTTTATCAAATTTCCCATTAGTTACATGTGAAACACATACCTGTGTTAATAGTTATGAACCTTTTCAACTACTTTGTTAACTTCCACGCAAAATTTAATTTTCAGGGCCTAGTGAAACAAGTGAATTTTTAAACTTTAACATAAATGGGTGTTATGTTTATACATACATATGTAAATATGAACAATTATAATAATGGGTAAACATAATTTGAAGTGTTTGTATTGTAAGTAATCATTTTTATTTTACAATTGAGCTTTACATAATATACCACTAGTATCGCATTAAGTAATATTATATATGATCTGACATTTTCGTTATCGTAAAAATGTATGACTGGGCATGAAAGAAATTTTTGATTTGGAGATTTGATAATTTTGTCATTTATGTTTACGTTTGATTTGCGTTTGATAATAATTGAAAGCGTTTTTGATCGTTTTTTTTGTACATCTATTCAAGTATTTGTAGAAGTGTACATAGATCGTTTTTTCAAGTTTTTCACCTGATTTATTTTTTTTAAATGAAAATTTTTTTTCTTTTTGCGAGAAATTTCGTCATTGTTTCTCTTTTTAAAGTTTTTTCAAGTTTTATCCCAGACAGACCTAATAATTTGTAGATTAAGTTTTCATCTTGTAAAGAGAATTAGAGAACTGTAGGTTTCGAAGTTTTATAAAAACTTTTTTGTGAGAAAATTTGAAAATTACTTTTCGTACTATTTTAGTATTTTAATTGTTTATTTTTTGCTTGATTTTGAAAAACCTCTAACAAAACGACTGTCTATGACATAGTCATAGCTAAAAATTTTAAATTCAATACCAAATTACTAAAAATTTAACTCTACGAATTTATTCATCAGAAGTAATTGCATTACAGTATGTTAAGTATTTAAATATTTTTTAAAGCAACTGTATATGCAAGCGAAATTTTCTCAGTTGCTAAGCATTTAAAATTTTATTTGCGATAAAACTAGTATAACTTGTTCTAATAATTATGTACTGAAATTAAGTCGTCGATCAAAATAAATTAAAACTAATAAAATTTTAGAACAAACTTTTTGTTCTGTGATACCTATGTATCTTAAACATAAATACATAATATGTACATAAGTACATACCTAACCAAAATCGTATAGCGAAGTCAAGAGCTCATGAAAATAAAAATCAAATATTTAAATTATATTTTTTTTTATTTGACTAGATCTAATTTAAAAATGAACTATTTTCCTTGTATTCCTCCCAATATGCTCTGTTTAAGTTGAACAACTTTTCCTAAAATACCATTAACGATACCACCTGCTCCACCTCCTAGTCCACCTAAACCACCAAATCCTCCTGCACTGTGACCTGCTACACCTGCTCCATGACTGACTACAGCAGATTCATGGCCAACAGCGTGTCCACCTGCATGTCCGCCTGCAAATCCACCACCATAACCACCTGCATGTCCGCCTACAAATCCACCACCATGGCCACTTGCAACCCCAACACCATGGCCACCTGCAAATCCACCATGATGTCCACCAGCATATCCACCTATTGGCTGTTCTTTAATAACAATTACTTTAATAACTTGTGGACCGCCATGATGGCCTCCCGCAAATCCACCTCCATGTACACCACCGAAACCACCGCCAGCATGTAAATTAGTATGATGAGCATGCGAAATACCGTGCCCACCAACATGACCATAGCTTGCACCGCGCGCGTATCCTCCTGGATGACCGGCAGAGAATCCAGCTTCTGTGTTAACTACTACCGTTAAAGCTAATAAACAAATGAAAAATTTCATTTTTTGCGATATTTTTTTGTTCTAAAGAGCACAAAATAAAATTTTAAATTAGGCAAATATTCTGATGAACGCGTAATAATACAAAGTTGTTTCTTAAATAGATCTAGTCGAACTAAAAAAATTTTATATCGAATCAATGAATTTATAGACATCAGAATTTTTCAATTTAAATTTTATTTGAATTTACAATCTAGTTTTTTATTCTAATGTTATCTTATTCATTTTGATGGTAATCATTTTTGTTTGATAGTAAAATAGCAAACTCTTAATAGAATTCTTGTAAAAAATTTTAGAAGAAATAACAAATGTTAGTTTTTTTTTTGTTTTTGTATTCTGTTCCGCAAATAACAAAAAATAAATTATGGTTACTATCCAATTTTTCTATTGTTCTTGAAAATGTTTCCTAAATCGTGATAATAATCATACTTTGATATTTTGATTAGAAAATGTTAATTTTTTATATCCTAAGTAAAATTTGCAGATTTAGTCAGAATGTCTGTAAAAAATTTATAGTCAAAAAAAAAAAAAGTGACCCCGAAACAAATAAACGCTTATGTCGACCAAAGATCAGAACCAAACAATTATAACCAGTTATTGTTGCACATACGAATACATGTTATTGAGTAGCGCTAGCCTCGACATATTTTTACAGATATAAACTTCTACTTTTTAGAACTTAAAAAGTTACATTTTAAATATTCCTTTGAAAATTCTATTGTGCTTAACAATTAAAATTCATTACATTTTTAACACACTAAAAACTATTTGATTCGGTTATTATTGTTTTATTCTGGAAAAATCACGAATTTTTGTTTAAAAAAATTTTTGAAATTTTAAAGTTAAATAACATTTGCTTATAACACTGACATTTGCTCACTCATGAATACTATTTTAAAAATGTAATTTAAGATTCAATTTTTTAAAAATAATAATTTTGAAGTTAAACAATTATTGCTTTTCAGGACAGTAACTCTTCATTTTAATACAGCATTCATTATACATATACCTACATAGATATTTCATAATGATACTATAATCGTTATTAAGAAGATGATTTGTTTATTACTAGCATTTATAAGTATCTACTAACATAATAAGAATTGTATTGGGGAGGTATGTAGTAACCGGTTTGTAAAAAAATATGATTCAAATTTTTGTAATAAAATTTGGGAACTCGTTTTTTGTATTGAATGTATTTAATATAAATTTTATACAATTATTGTTGCGCGTATACCCGAATCTTTTTAGTAACATATAAATATTATTTATTGTTTAATAATTTTCTAAATAACTTAAATAGAATTAAATCTAATAAACACAATAAAAAAAGGTACACCTATAAATTATTTCTGGCATTGTACAAAATTCATATAAAATTTTAATTATATTTTATGCCGGTAAATATAGTCCGAAAATTTCAATTAAGTATTTTAAAACAGAAAAAAAATCATAGAAAAATGCATATCATAGTTAAGTGTCCAACTATACTGAGATTGCTTTAGGGGACGATGTAGTGGTCCAAGGTTTGCACGTTCGGGTTAAATACATGTAATTGAGGATATATTTTTTGTGTTATTTCATTTGCTTTTTATATTTTCTAACATTAATAAGTAGTTGGTAGCAGGCCTGAAAAACATATACAATCTTAATAGAAAGAAGGGTCCTTAGGATATACATTTCTATTAAAACGAGGGGGTTTTTGGAAAATGAACTTCATAAAGGTATAGATTTAGATACATTTACAAACATTAAGTATGTATGTATGTGGAAATTTAGCCTTGATTCAAATATAATTTATGTTTTGTGAAGGTTTTCGTCAATCCTTGTAATTCAATATACAAATAAGATTTATATAACGTAACCTTCATTCTAATTGTGCTGGCCTATAGTTTTTAGCAACAATTTTTATAATTATTCCTCATATGACTGCTAACAGCTTATATGTAATACCGTTATGAAATATAAGCTTGGTAACAAAACTCAATAACATAAAATTTAAAAAAAAATGTTAATGTTTGTTCAAGAAACACGCACGTGATATGCTCAAAAGAAAAAATATTATGTAAAATTTAACGTGAAAGTAAATAGTAAATCATATATTTAAAAGAAATTCACACCTTCTTTATTTCTATTCGTATTTATTTAGCTTACACATAGAAAATCAAAATTTTTTTGCACATTCTTATAATGTGTTTGTACGTATGTTAGACAATATGTTCTAAGTTAATACAAACAATTTTTTTATATATACTATTTGGTACAATGTTCTTATTTAAAAAAAAAAAAACGTGAAATTTTCAACAATTTCTAAAAGACTAGAGGGCAGTGATAAAATTTTTACTTAAAATAAACTTTTTTTCCATGCTAATAATTGTCCTAATGGATTACCACTGCTGTAACCATAGCCTCCAGCATATCCAGCGCCTGGTGCACCGTATGTTGTTGCAGGTGCTCTCCAACCTGATGTTGAAACTACAGCTCCATTATTAGCAACAGCTGGAGTTTGATAATAAATTTGTTGACGGTTTGTCCAACCGCTACTACCTGTTACTATCGGTGTACCATATTGCTGAGATGGAGCCCAACTCCCACTTGTGTATCCTCCGGTATATCCTCCGCCAGTTGCATAACCACCAGTAGCATATCTTGTACCTGTTGTATAACCACCACCTACTGTTGTGTATCCAATATTACTACCTGTATTACAGTCTTGTACTCCAGTACTATAACTTGGTGCCCAGCTAGTGCTAACTGATGGAGTAGCACCTATAACAGATCCAACACTAGGTTCATTTTCATAAACAGTTTCTGTTCTTATAGCTGGGGTTGGATTATAAACTGGTATTTGTTCAATTGATGGTGTTGATTGAATTGATGTTGTTACGGCTGGTAAAGTGCTTATTGTAGGTCTACTTACTTCAATATGTTGTTGAACAGGAATGGGAATTTGTTGAGGTTGTATTGGTACAGGAATTGGTGCTGGTTGTATAACTCTTTGTACTGGTGCTGGTTGTACATAAGTTGGTTGAGGTGCTGGTTGTATATAAGTCGGTTGTGGTGCTGGTGCACTTTGAATGTAAGTCGGTTGTTGTATTGGTGCACTTTGTACATATGATGGTTGGGGTGCAGGTGCTGGAACAACGATTACTTTAATTGTTTCTCCGCCACCATAACCATATCCACTTCCATATCCACTGCCATACCCTTGTGAATAAGATTGACCTTGATATACACCACCTTGTCGCCATCCCCCATTACCGACATATCCCTGTTGCCATCCTCCACCATTACCGTAACCTCCACCATATCCACTACCGTAACCTCCACCATATCCACCACCGTAACCTCCACCGTATCCTCCTCCTAAACCACCTTTAAGTCCACCTAAACCGCCTAATCCACCCCCTAGTCCACCACCAATACCACCTAATCCTCCTCCCAAACCAGCCAAAAGTAGACCTTTCTTTAAGAATGTGGCAGATGAAAAGGCAATTAATGCCATAAAACAAATTAAAATTCTCATTTTCAATGAATTTTTTTAAAATTAATTACTAATTTGATCCACTTATTATCTTTATTGGTAGCACTTTTTTATACCGGAGTTCAAGCAAAAAAAAAATCGATTAAGTATTTTGGTATTGAATTAAATGAAGGATCGATCGTAACTGATTTATGATATGAACACCCACTTGAATTTATATGAAAATTCTGTGATCCATATGCAAACAATGTTAATTCTTATTTTGATTTAACTCCCTTATGTACAAAAGTATAACTAGCAAAAAAAATAAAATATTATTATTAAATGTTTACGAAAATATGACATAACCGAGTTTTCAATCACATTTTATTTGTATATCTACCAGCAACAAATAGAAAAAAAAGTCTGTATCGGTAATAGAAAGACCTACTAAATCTCACTTGTTTTGCTTATTATTGTATTTTTTATTGTATTTATTAGTTTAAGACTAAATTTATTTTACTTTACATTGTAGGATTGGTACGCACATAAGATCTAAGTATGTAAATTTTCCAAAATAATAAGAAAGTAAACAAAAGAGAATGTATGTATACTTATATGCATATGTATGTAAAAATGTACAACTTAAACATAATGATGAGTCTATAATTCACACTTACTTACACTGACCTAGGAAATGATCTACACTATCGCCACATTTAATATTAGATATTAAACTAAAAATGAAGGACTTAAATTTTAAGTGACCATAAAAATAATTTCATATTTTCAGTCCTATTATAAATCCACCGCACTTTTTAATTACTCATTATAGTCATTACATTTAGAATAAATTGATACAATTTAATAATATTACAGTATAACGTTTGTCGTAATACTTAATCGGAAAATTTTCTTCTAAAATAATTCGCCTTAATGATATTTTAAAGCAATTTTTTTTAATTTATTCAAATTAAATCATGAAGAATTCTACCTAGTACAAAAAGAAATGTACTAGAAAGTAACGGCTCTTATTAAACGATATTTCAAATAAAATAAGAATAATTTCATTTACTCTTTAAATTTTGTTAAGTACGAGACAACTCAATTTATTTATATGCCGACATCTGCTTTGCAACACACCATAAATGGTCGCTCTAATCTAAAATTTTAATGTGATGGAATACTCAATGAATTTTGTTTACTTAAATACTTGAGTTAAATGAATAAGGTAGGTTTAGGCTTTATTTTATTTTTCTTCTTTTTTTTAATAAAGTAAATATAAATTTAAGATTTTGTAATCGAATTAATAATAATAATTCTGAAATGTTTGAATATTTGTTCGTAATCTATAAAATTTCAATTAAAATTAAAAAAAAAAATTATTATGTACTTAATATTCAATGTTCATAAAAGTAAAAAAATATCAATTATGAGAATCGTATTCAGCAGACGTACTGTAAGATGCTTTGAAAATACAAAAATTTTTCAAAGTTAATTCTGTAAGATGATTGCTATAAGTTAGTTGAAAATAATTTTGAAATTATTATATTTTTATGATGAACTAAAATTTTTACTGGTATTTATACGCAAGCATATTTTATTCAAAACTTAGTCAGGAAGCATAAATTATGCAAAATGTATCACTATAATGTCAAATATTTGCTACCACACATGCCATTAATTTTTGTGTATACATTATATGTGTAGGTATGTTCATGCGAATATTTAATAATTCATATGTACATATATAAACAATATTTAAGATATGATACTTGTACCGTTGTGCTTTGGAATCGAAACCGATTTTCAATTAATATTTCAATTGTAAATTTTAATGCAAATACAAGTAGGAAATGTCATACACGTATAATGTTAAGTAGCATAGAAATAATATTTTGAATTTGAGAATTTGAGAGAATTTTTATTTAAATTAGAAAATTTTCGAATCCAGATCTTTAGTACCGGTGTAAATGTATAATATTAATCTCAATTCATACCGCGACATCTGTATTTCATAAATTATTAATTTTGCAATTGGCTTCCAACGCAAATCCTTTGTGTTTCTATTTCCATACACTTTGATTTAATATTATTACAATTTGTATTTACAACAAATTATATACCTCAAATTTTCAAAAAAATCAAAGGATACTAGAGTTTTGTAATTAATATGGTTTAAAGCAATTTTAATTTTTTGTTTAAAAAATTGTAAATTCTATGACTGAATTCGTACTAGAAAGATTTAAATACACAAAATATTAAAATATTGTGTGATTAGATCTTTAAATAAGGAAACGATATCTCTGAGAAAATAAATTATTTTGCTCTGTAAGAATCAACAACGTTCAAGCAATTTTTGTTTTAGTTTATAATTAGATGTGTGTACATAAGTATAAATTTTAAAATAAAAATTTTACATCGAAAAATAATTAATTTTTAAAATTCAATTTGAATAATAATTTTTCCTATGTTAACGTCATGCTAATTGCCTATTTTAAATATTTTAATATTTGAATTTTGTTTAAAATATGAAAGTTCCTCAACATTAATGCTAACAAATAAATAAAATAATAATAAAATATTCCAATTGCTTGCTATTAAAAAAGTTGCCGTTAATAAAACCTGACACGCAATACATAATTATCGTTTTTAAACTGGTTTGTTTTGACATTTATATCTGTTAAAACCCTTAATATTTTGTTATTTTTTCTTAAACGTCAAATAATTTTTTAACGCAATAATATTTTTATGTTTTATTTGCATTTCTAATGGACATTGCCGATTCGCCAGATCAAAGCAAACGAAAAAAATTCTTCGGTAACTTTGGAATTTTTTTATGTTATTGTTAATAGTTTGAACTTTGACAGCGCTATCTCAAAAAGTATTGAACGCATTCCTTCCTAGGTGTGTTATATATAAAGTTCATCATTCTCGCCCTACAAAATTTGACATTGAAAACACTTTAGGTGGCATGCTTATTTTTAACAACCATTTACAAATCTTGTCAATAACCATTCTCTTCAATGAAAAACTAATAAGTAATAAATTAAATTGAAAAAAAATTAAAAAAAATTGAAAGACCAATTTTTCATTTTTAAATAGCATATTTCAAAATAATTTTCATTTTATTTTATCGGTTATTTAAATCACGATTAAGTAGGTAGAGGATTTTAGTTTAAAGGTATTTATTGTACTTAAAGTTTAAAAAATAATTTGTACAGTAAATTTGTATTTAAATGTAAATTAAAATCAATTATACATTCATACATACGTACGTACATAAATAATATATATTCTGGTAGTAAATGAAAAAAAAGACTAATCATAGATTATTACAGCAAACGATGCAGTCTCAGATTTTCGTTTTTATTATTTAGTATTTATGGTTTCTTTTGTTTTTTTTTTCTGGGCGGGTTACGATTTTTTTCTCAGTTTTATTCTTGATTTATGTTTTTATTGAAAATCACCATCGACAATATTATTATTATTGATAATTTTTTTAAATGTACTTGTTATACACAATTGAAACTACATTTGTAAGTAGACACCAAAAGTTTTTGCTCATATTGAATTTTCATGTTGGGTAATTTAAAAATTTTTATAATGAACTATTGTGATACAAAGTCGATTTAAATTTTAACAAAAATTTCATTTATTCTTTGTTTTTGCATAATTTAAAGAATTGAGTACAAAAAACAGAACAGAAACAGAAAATCAACAACAAGTCTTAAAATGCAAATCTGATTATCTAAAAGAGTAAAATATTGAAAGACGAAAGTAACACCGTAAAACGTCATTATTATTAAATACAAAGTTTAATTTTTATTACTTGAAAATTTCGGATTTTTTATATAAAGCATCAAAAAATGTGTAATAATCCTCGAAATGATTTTCGAACTATTTGAGCTGGGAAGGATTTCTTACTCAAATGCGATTTTGCAGGAAAGTCTACGTCTACCGGAATAAATGTGTGTAACTATTTGTCTCAATAACACTTCAGGCATAAAAATTTTGTAGAGTATTGTAAATAATATCCTTATATAATGGAATGAGCAGTATTGAATAATTTCCATTCACATAACAGTACAGAAGTTCCAAATTATATTACGAATAAAATTAAATTGCCCACTATTCCGTTATTAATTTTTAATAAATATAGTACAAAAATTTTAAAAGCTTATAGGTTCTTAATCCAGTTATTTTTAAATTCGTTTTAAATGGAAATATTAAAAGAAAATTTATACTGAAATTACTTTAATTCAAAAAGAAAAAAAAAAAAAAAACAATATAAAAAAAAATTGTGATTGCATTTGTGTATATTCAAAATTTTTTACTATAAAAAATATAGCGTGAACTTCTAAAGATGTTAGAAGTTGAAAATAAAATTTAATTAAAATTGAATTTTAAAAAACATCGTGAATCTAATAAAAAGGGTAAAGGGTATATCAATAAATTAATAATTTAATATATTTTTATTTTTTTTTAAGTTTGACAAAAGAAACATGAATAAAAGTAGTTGTTCTTTTCCAATGAAATTGCATGCAAAAATGAGGTATGCCGATCAGTTTCGCATGTCGAATTTTCAAAAGGAATGTGTTTTAAGTAAAATATATTGGTCTTTCACTTTAACTTACTTCCCAGTCGGTTTATCAGCTTTGGTTGACAGAATTTTTATTTAATTTTATCACAAAACTAATTTATTCATATAATGAGTTTTTTCATATTTAAATCAACAGTGATGAGTTGATTAATTTTTGTTAAACTTCATATATGTCAAGTTGTTGATGATTATTACATTAAGTGTAATTTAAAGATGTTCTTGAAATTTTATACATATATCAGCTTCATTCATTGTGAAGACTTCTCAGGATAGTCTAATTTAGGACACATAACTCACATTTAGGAATTTTAAACGAAAAAAATGTATCTGTATATCGCTTCGCAAAACATACAATTAAATTTTTATAAGCAATAACTAGGTACTCGTATACTTGTTTATAGCCACATTATACTTTACGGTATAGGTGCAAATTTTTAACTTTTACACTTTTTTATTTTAGATATCATGGAAATTGTAATAGAATTTTTTAAAACACGTACTAAAAATGCAATTTTTATTTAATTCTACGATTAGATGTTGTAAGGGATTATGATATAACAATGAAGAAAATTATGTAATTTATTGGATTGAGAAAATGTTCAATTATTATTTTTTGTTGTTTTTCTTTTCTATGTTCAATTTATGATTCGAAAAAAATGATTTACTATTAAAGTTTAACCTCGTTTAAATTAAATTAATTAATAAAAATGTATGTTAAATTAATTAAAAGCTTTAATATCTTTTTATTAGTAATTCTTATATGTATTTTTTATTTAAGTATGTCTGTATATTATTTATTAATTAAATACTATTATGCGGAATACTTACAATTATGACAATTAGAAATTTCATTTTAGAAATCACAAAGATATTTTAAACAAATCATAAACACATTTTAAATATAATTAATATTTAAATGGCTATTGAATTAATATAAAATATGGTTTTGAAATCTTTAATTTATTAATTTTGTAAAATCTGTAGGCATCATCAATTCATTTATCAATAATTAGCGCTTACCTTTAATATAAAATACATAATATACAGTGCCCAGTTCAGGTACTGATTTCACATAAGTAGGTACTTAATATTATGCTCAAAATTGTATGATTTCTGCACTTATATAATATGCAATACTTTAATGCACTAAAAAAAAATTAATAAATTTATATTAGATGGGTTAATGCACCACAGAACATAAACTTATGATTAATATTATCACATGACACATATGGCCATACTAGTCAACTTACAACAATATACATACTTATGTATAAAACTGCATACAACTTACATTATATGTGCATATTATGTAATTTACAATAGATATTTAAGATTATACTGGTAATTAACTACCTACATATAAACTTTTCTTCTATTTTATATTCTTAAAATATTAATGTAATTTTTTAGAAAGATTAATCACTTAAATAAATTATTAAACGCATGCTAAACATTGTATACATGTAATCTGGAAATAGGCCATCGTATTTACGTGAAAAATTTATAAATATTACAACACTAATACGTAAATAGTATGTAAGAATATAATAAGCAATATAAACACTTTTAAAAAATAATTAAATTAATTGCATAAAATGCATTATATCACATTTTATTTATTGTTTTAATGATAACAAAGTTCATACATACTTATATGAACACACAAAATAATTAAGATCAAAATATAACCCTTAAAATCACTATATGTGATGTACTCGTTTACCGTGAATTTTTATATTTAATTCATCATTTTAATTTTCACAAAAAAAAATAAATATGATGATGATAGTTATACTTAATATAAATCTGTTTTGGTAATATTATGCTTCAATGAAACTAATTCTTTTACACAATTTTTCAAAAAAAAAAAAAACGACCTTTTTGCATCATACAATATTGTGGATATAACAAATATACGTGTATATAGTATGTACTAAATGTTCAACTGATTTCATCATTGTGATTATGCAGAAAATATTATTATGAACAATAATCTAATATAAGTGTTAAGTACCTACACACTATTATTATATTCCTGCCCTTTTTTATGATTTAAAAAAATTCAATTATTGTAATATGCATTCGAATTCACAAATATTATGTTGCATGTACATACACGTATGTTTGTACATATGTGAAAGATTATTGGTAACTTGTTGAATTCATAAGTACACACAGTGCAAACATAAAAAAAATATTGTATAACATTTAATAATGTATGTACATATAGGTATGTTTTATCGTTATACATATTTGATTTTATTTGTGTCACACGCGAGATAAAGATTTTCTGTTTACTTGACATTGAATAAAGAAACTACCATCAAAGTGGTTTAAATAAATAGAAAAACGAAAAAAAAAAATAAAATCATAAAGTAAACATTTATGCTGTTTTTTTTTTGCTTTTGTTGTTCTTTTATAATTTTGTTGTGTTTTTCTTTTTTTTATAAATATTATGACGAGTTGAATAATAAAACCGTAGTAATACAATTAAACATAAAAATAAGACCATTGTGAATTTAAAAATTTTATATTTTTACAAGCTGGTAAATACCAGCTAAAATTTTATTTCATAAAAGATGATTGATAGGAATTAAGAAAGTTATTTTATTTTTTCAACAAAATTGTTTAATTTAGTATTTCAATTATCAGTCCGTCCCCGTGCGATTGTTTGTATGAATTTTGTTTACATAGCATTTTTAGTTTACGATTTAATTAATAAGATGCTTTCAACTTTTCTTTATCATCAATAAGATTAAAATTACAATATTAAAGAATAATATAAACAGAATACTTATCCGTTTGTAAGTAATTGTTATTGGTTAAATTGCTTAAGAAAATGTGCTGTTTTAAAAACCTTCATTTTGGTTTGAGTTTCTTTAAAAAGATTGTGTATGAGCAGAAAGTTTGTAATTAATTAACTTTATGAATACGGTAAATAAGTCAATTGTTGAATGAATTTTTTTGAACGAGAATGTTTAGCTCAATATTCTTAAGCATATGAATTTTTAATTAACGAAAACATAATAAAATTAATGCGGTATTATGCTAGATTTGACCCAGAGTCCTGTCGCACATAAATACCTGGTATAAACGCTTACAAATAGGATAAGTGAAATAAAGAAACAATTAGCCCTTCTAATATAAATTTATTTCAATTGACCTACATATATAAAAAGAGATTATGGTTAACCTTAAAGGCTGTACCTTTGCTGCTTTCCTAAATTTTTCAATGTAATTACCACTCAAAAATCAAAATGTTAATTAATTTATTGTTACTGCCATTACTACTGCTATTTAGACTCAAACTGTTATCTTCTTGCCTTTCGTACTTTTGTTTTTATCAGCGAATTCTTTTAGAATGAATTTTCATTTTCTTTTATTTTCTTTAAAAATAATAATTTTTTTTAGAAATTTGGAATATGGTCAACTAAAACATAAATTTAGAAAACCGGTCAGTACGATTTTTTTTACCAAAAACAGACGATACACAACGTATGTATGTTTGTGAATATATCAACTTAATAATTATGTAACTTTGTATGTATGTATATACATATGTATGTATTTCTTTAGCGATCATTGGATTTGCGTACTATTGTTATGCTTATAGAAATTATAATATTTGAATTTAAATAAAATTTTCACACCCATATTTTAAATTTTTTGAAATTATAATTTTAAAATTTTTTTTATTTTTCAATCACTTCTAGAATAAATTTACATAATTTACAAGTTCTCACCGGTAAGATAATTTTTGATTTTTACTTTTTAGCATAAATATGTATGTATTATGTATCCAGAAATATTAACACACACGTAATATAAATAAAGTATACCACACCACAAGTATACCACAATACCACATTCGTATAAATATGAATATATTATGTAAAATAAATTTATGTTGCGTTGTGTTGCCACATCCAAATTTTAAAAGTATGGCTAATTTTAGTCATGTGTCATTTGCAGAAATGAAATATGACTTAAAAGTTTCCGCCTCTAATTTAGAGATTCTTCTAAAATATGCAGCAAAAGGAAAAAACACCTTAGGTCCAAGTTATTGTTATGATAAAAAAGAGATTTATGGTTTTTAAATAGGTTTTAAATATATGAACTCATAGAATCTATGTCAATGTTAATATTTTTTAAC